TGGCTCCACATGTGCTTAGCCGGCATGGAGTCTATCAGTAGGCCCTAGTTACCGACCCTGATTTTCCCATTCATTGAATTGGCGGGAAAACTAATACCATTGCTTTCGATACTGTTAATATTGTTATTGATGTTATGATTATTGAATTGTCATTAGAATATTTTTGACAATGAAATGATACAAAAAAACTTTTCCTTAAGTGAAGGAAAAGGGTAAACAGGTGAAATAGGTAGTTCCTGATAACTGGCTATTTGTTGATTAAGAACTTGTAGAGCCATCTATGTGTAAATACAATTAATAAACGTGTATCAAAGTGGGTATGGCATCTATTCTTGCCACGTGTGGCGAATGGGTTAAGAGAGAAAAGAGGGAATAATAGATAGACTTAGAAATATAGACATCATAATGACAAGGAAAGGATGATAATAATAATGGTAGGGATAGTAAAGATACCAGCCATTGCATAGTGGTGATGTGGCTCTAAATCAATGGTTGTGAATGTTGCTCTTAGTATGAGGACATCCAGGTAGGGCAGGGGTTTCTCATTCGCAAACCCAAACTCCTGGCTCGTGGCTCTGTGCAATGCGGCAAATCCTATCGTGACTGGCTGAAGAACACTCAAAGAAATTGGCATTTGTAAAATGAGATTACTTCATTGTTAGTGTTCTTCCCTTTTATTTGCTTTTATCAGGGAGAGGGCCATGTACTTCAGCTCCTCTTATTTTTGATCAGAGGAAATTATTGAAATATCTCTTCCTGCAGGCTGGTTATTAGATGACCTTGTCTACATCTCCCTGGGCGGTAAAGGACGAGCAATTGCTCACACTAGCTGGTGACATAGAGCTGTGAGCTTCCCAAATCCCAGACATAATCCCAGACATAAGAGATGAACTGACAGGACTTTTAGCAGAATCTTTGGAGACTTGGTTTACTTTGAAACTTTCTTGTACTTATTTGGTTTAAGCTGAGGTTTTGACCCACATTGCATAAGCCTGAAGAGTGTTGTAATTTATAGTCCTTATTAATTATTTTCCAAAATATGTGAAATGATAATGATTAACATCACTAGATTTAATTGCATAAAGCAATCGTTGATCTCTCATTTAACAACTGGTGCATTTATCAAATGAGATTACTGAAGGAGGAAAATGTGTATATAGTTTTTATTATTTCTATTGGGATGCAACAAGAGTATTCAAATTACAGAATTGAAGTATGTCTGAATAGCAGAGATTAAGCAGTATGTCACAGGAGCCTTTAATTTCCCCATCCCATGTAGCCCAACCCAATTATTGTTAAAGATTCTCAAGGGGCAGTAGAGGAAGAACGTCTGAATGGTTAGCATGACTGGAGGAAGTCAGTGCACCTTGCTTCAGAGATTATCAGTATAATGGACAAAATGATTTTATTTGGACAAAGAAGAGTAAATCCATTTGATTGAACCAATGCATTTTCTAATGCTTTTTGATCTCTCATGTTAATGATAATTTCTCCTCTCTCCTCTCTTTTCTCTCTCTCCATCCATCCCCTTCTCCTTCCCCCTCCCCTTCCTTTTTTTTTTCCTCATCCCTTTCTTTTTCCCTTCTCCCTTCCATTTCCCTTCCCTTCCTTAATATACCCTACCTCCCTTCTCTTCCCTTCCCTTCCCTCCCTTCCCTTCCCTTCCCTTCCCTTCCCTTCCCTCCCTTCCCTTCCCTTCCCTTCCCCTCGTCTGCCTTTTCCCATTTCCTCCTTTTCTGTTTTTAATCATCCACCGGCATATCCTCTCTCCTTCTAAGCTTCCCCCATAACATTTTTCTTTTTTTTAGAAATATTTTGTCCAATCTGTGTCCATGAATTTAATTTGATTTTTTTTTCTCTCTCCATATGTTATGGAGCCGAAAAAGTGAAATATTAACCAGGTCTCGGCAAAGTAGGTCAGGTATTATTAACTCTGTTAGTAGTCTCCTTCGGGCACAGCTTCATGTGGTTTTGATAATCTGACAGTCACTGAGCAACATCTCTGAATTTCTAGAGAAAAAGTGTAGGGAAAGAAAAACTGTGTATTTGAGAACTGGTCAGATATCGAAGAATTTTTGACGTGTTATGTGTAGAGGTCAAATCTTGTTTTTCATACTCAGTTATGTTGCTAGCTGAGTCAAGGAACTCTGCTAGATTCTAGTGGTTTTGAAATAAATGTAGTTTCCTTGTTTAGTGAAATTTTGACTGATTTATTCCTGAAAAGAGATGTTCTTAGATTGTGAGATTGTTTACCACAGGCATGTGGAACAGTACTGGCAATGACCCATGAACAAAATAATTTAGTTTACCTAACCCTGTAGACCAATGTAATACAGATATTGATCTTCTGCTTAATCTTTTTTTCCCTATGATTAACACAGTAAATCCTTTCCACGAGGGAATTAATTTTCAGTGTACATTTGTAAAATAAGATTTGGGGAATTTTACTTTTGGAAATAAAGATATTACTAATAATTATAAATATTCATATACAGTAAGACACAAAGAAAGAATTTAAGGAAGTCTTTTATGTTCTCGGTTTTTGTGCGAGTCAGATCAGAGGGCAGTAGCCAGCAAACTATTTGTATTCACTATTATTCATAGGTTATTCTTAGTTTGTGTCTAATTGAAAAACAGTTTTTATAGCTTATCTATATTTTATATGTATTGAAAAAATGGCGATTCATATTGATTTATTTATGTTGGAGGCCATTATTCTTATGTGTTTAATGATCTTATTACTAAATCATGTACAATAGAACTTTATATGAATGAAATGAATGATATTGTAGGAAGATAATGATAAGGAATATGTGTAGAGAATGAATACATTAACTTGTCAAGGACAAAGTGATTTAGAGTTTCATGTGCACACAGGATGGGGGAAAAGGAAGGATCAAAGCAAAGTGAGAAAGAAATGGGAAAATTTGCCGGTAGAATTACTCTTTGCCTATCCACTCTGTTTCATACGCCGAAGTACAACAATGTGCTGTAATGTGTGCGCACAGAAAAAAGTGGTACTCATGAATCTGATAGAAAATGGAAGAAGATTTTGGTAACATAACTTATTCCATTACACCAAAATACAAGGGATGCTATATATCATCCTGTGTGGGGGAAAGTTTACAAAGAGTATTTGGCTTTTGGCTGCATAATTTAGACAGAAATGTTGTGTTTATAATTGCTTGAATGATTAATTTTAAACATATGTAGATATCATAGTAGGTATTGGAGTATGTGAAGTTCTAAAAGGTGAACAAGATCCTTCCATGATTATTCTGTATGGAAGTGAGTTGTGAGTGATATGCACATACGGCTATATTTTTATGATTTTGTTAATTCAGATGCAGAGCTACTACGGTTTGATTTCCTTCTTTTCCAGTTTGAGTCTTGAAATTGCATGGAAAACAATGCTTATTACTGATGTTTGCTCACTTATTCACTCATTACATCTACACTTTTTTTTTTTTTCAAAACTAGCATTAATGCTTTTTGTATATATTTCATTATATGTACTTGTGTTATATCTAAGTCTGTATGGGTGCTGGAAGGTGTGATAGAAGAAGTGATACTTTGGGGAAAATATTGGTATTTTAGTGTTATGTGAGAGTGATTGTTTATGATTAACTTGTTATTTTGAGTGTGGTACTGTATTTTCACTAATGTTGATTCATCAGGGTTAGTAAAGAGAAAAAAAAACGTACATGGAATGATGTCCCTGAATTTCATAAGGTTATAACAGGTTCTGTGTAAATATGTTAAAGAAAAGAAACCTTCGTCCTGAAAATTGTCCCAGGAATTCTTCAGCCAAAATGTAGTCGACACACATCCTGTAAGGCAATTGATCTTCATGTCTGATATTTTACTTCTTACTCCTGTGGGTTTTGCATTCCACTTTTTTTCCCTTTAAGTTTCCTCTCAGACTTTTCCTTCCAGGGAAATGAACTTCATGTTTTGTTCAATGTATGATCTATTATATAAATTATATCTCCTTGATTCCTAAAGCTGTAATGTTTACTCATTATAGTTTATGTAAATTCTTGGTACTTTGCAGGTACTTTTTAAAAGCTTAAACAGCATGTAATGTAGAATATATAAATTCTGTTTAATAGATAATTACTCTTGTTATTAAAGCTTTTAATTAGCACATGTTTCTCTTTTAGTATGAGATAGATAGACTTCACTATAAATTTTATGAATTCAGACGCATATGTACTGAGTAGTTTATGCCAGAATTAGAATTTATTAAATTAGTAAAGTTTGGATTTAAACTAGAATTACCTAAAAAGAAAAAAATAAATAAGTTTTTGGGGAAAACTAATTTTTGTATCTTTTGGATAGCCTGTTCAAAAGGTATAGAATCTACAGCTCTCATGAGAACGGCTGCCTATTAGAAATTTGAATGTATTTTCAACAAAGATCATCTTGTAATAATATTTTGTTAGAATTATGTTAGTCTATATAGACCTTTAGCTGATTTTCAAAACAGTGCTGAATATTTACTGTTCACTTTTTTTTATTTTTATTTTTTTGCATCATAATAAAGAAGTGATTTCTCCAAACAGAACCAGTGCCAGATAGGAGTGCTACCTCTGGGCACAGGGAATGACCTGGCACGGGTCCTAGGATGGGGCTCGGCCTGTGATGACGACACGCACTTGCCCCACATCCTGGAGAAGTATGAGCGTGCAACGACCAAAATGCTGGACAGGTAACTGGAGTAACTTAGTATATAGAGTATTAGTGAGCAGACAGAAAAGGTTAAAGAAAAAGGTTTGCCTTTATTAAGTTCTTGATGGAATTTCCTGTTTCTCCAGAATGTTACCCATTCTCTGGCATTTTGTTTTTTTTACACAAAGATGGTTTCACAAGTACTAGTCACCAAGGATTCAGTCACCAGGCCTACCAGATCTTGCCTGTTAACCCATTCCTTTATTTATTTATTTATTTATTTATTTATTTATTTATTTATTCATTTATTTATTTATTTATTTATTTATTTATTTATTTATTTATTTATTTATTTATTTATTTATTTATTTATTTATTTATTTATTTATTTATTTATTTATTTATTTATTTATTTATTTATTTATTTATTTATTTATTTATTTATTTATTTATTTATTTATTTATTTATTTATTTATTTATTTATTTATTTATTTATTTATTTATTTATTTATTTATTTATTTATTTATTTATTTATTTATTTATTTATTTATTTATTTATTTATTTATTTATTTATTTATTTATTTATTTATTTATTTATTTATTTATTTATTTATTTATTTATTTATTTATTTATTTATTTATTTATTTATTTATTTATTTATTTATTTATTTATTTATTTATTTATTTATTTATTTATTTATTTATTTATTTATTTATTTATTTATTTATTTATTTATTTATTTATTTATTTATTTATTTATTTATTTATTTATTTATTTATTTATTTATTTATTTATTTATTTATTTATTTATTTATTTATTTATTTATTTATTTATTTATTTATTTATTTATTTATTTATTTATTTATTTATTTATTTATTTATTTATTTATTTATTTATTTATTTATTTATTTATTTATTTATTTATTTATTTATTTATTTATTTATTTATTTATTTATTTATTTATTTATTTATTTATTTATTTATTTATTTATTTATTTATTTATTTATTTATTTATTTATTTATTTATTTATTTATTTATTTATTTATTTATTTATTTATTTATTTATTTATTTATTTATTTATTTATTTATTTATTTATTTATTTATTTATTTATTTATTTATTTATTTATTTATTTATTTATTTATTTATTTATTTATTTATTTATTTATTTATTTATTTATTTATTTATTTATTTATTTATTTATTTATTTATTTATTTATTTATTTATTTATTTATTTATTTATTTATTTATTTATTTATTTATTTATTTATTTATTTATTTATTTATTTATTTATTTATTTATTTATTTATTTATTTATTTATTTATTTATTTATTTATTTATTTATTTATTTATTTATTT